CTCATGCTGATAATCACCTGTATAATGGTCAAAGGAAAGTAACACAAAGAAAAAAGAGTGAGAAACATCTCACTCGGCTCACAATGTAGGAATAGATAGCCAAACACAAACAAAACATGTATAGCATAGATAGATTAATAACAATATCACATCTCACTCATCCAAGACATATCAATTTTTCATATAACATTAAAATGCACATGTATGGACACGGACCACATTTTATCATGCATGTGGCGCTAGTAACATATCACATGGCATATTGCCGCTAGCAATACACGAAGAGTAGTCTAGGAGTACATACCGGGTTACACTACAAAAAAAAGCCAATTTAGCCACCGAAATTAGCGACCGATTTTTTTCCGTCGCTAATAGCGACTTAATTAGCGACCGAATCCAATTTAGTTGAAAATCTTATTTAGCGACCGAATTAGCGACCAATTTTTTTAGTGCAATAAACGGTCGCTAAATTGGTCGCTAAAATAACAATTATTGGTTAAAATAGCGACGAAACGGTTTCGGTCGCTAAAAGAATAAAATATTATTATTTATAATAATTTTAGCGACCAAATTATAAATCGGTCGCTAAAAAATAAAAAAAATATTATTTATAATAATTTTAGCGACCAAATTAAAATCGGTGGCTAAAGTTATCATAAAGAGCCAAAAAGATTCATCTCTCTAATCATAAGGGAAGATAAATATAAAGGTTTCCTACACAAAACATCAGTCACCACAATGGCTTTGGCCAAATAATAAATAAGATCAAAATCTTATTCCTTAAGAAATTCCAACTATTTTTTTTTATCTCATATTTAACTCCTTTGGTCAAAAGATATTTAAGGTTCTTATGATCACTAAATACCTCAAGCTTAGAATCATATAGGTAGTGTCTCCAAATCTTAGTATAAATGTTAAAATCGCTAACTCAAGGTCATGGGTAAGGTAATTCCTCTCATGAATTCTCAATTTCCTAGAAGCATAAGCTACTATTGTTCCTTCTTGCATCAACACTCT